GTCCGATGCTATAAATCATCACTAATTCTATGGCAAAGGACGTTGGACTAGATACGTTCCACAATGTATCCCTTTTGCTCCTAACAAGTTGCGAAAATGAGGTCAAACGAACATGAAAAAAAGTTCGTCTCTAATTGCTTGTAAATGGATAACCTTTTATTAGTTATGAGTTGGAAATGCAGTATATTCAGGTGGAATACTTCAAAGCTAGCATTAATTTTTCCTTCCTTATCACATTACCCTATAAGCGTTTTTTGTGCCTTAGGATGCTTGTATTATGTGAGGTAAAGGAATATTCGTATGTTCCAGAATACAAGAGCGCCACAATATTAAGCTAAAGTACGACTTTATTTACTCCATGCGAATGTGATATTTTTATAAAATAATTTGCTTAAAGTCCTAAATCAACTTAAAAGCCTCCATCACGAGAGGCTCGAAGATAATAGAACATGGCAATTTTTAATAATCAACCAACCTCGCTTCCTAAAATTAGTATAACTGAGTGTGGAACTGATTTTTGGGACAAATATCATGACATTAAAAGTTATGCTGGAGTTAAGCAAAATGTTTGTCAGCAAATAGCATATAAACAACGCCCACCACACCATTGGTTGGGCCTACGCTAGAGAATTTCTAAGAATTGTATTCACTATGAATCTTAGAATAAGTAAAATCTCGGAACATTGTAAAGCTGTCTTAGATTCTCTTAGTCTTTAAAGTAGCTGAGCATAGTTAAAGATCTTCCTATATAGCTCAGTAAATCAGGTCTATGCAATATTGGTCTTAGATAAATTAGTTGGGAAGGCACTCATAGAAGAACTGTTAAAGTAATATATTTAGACCTTGTTCATTAAGTGATACCCTAAACAGTAGTACTTAATTTGATGCTCGCATATATTCACCCGTTTTACAATAAAGGTATGGTATTCCGCACACACGTAAACCTCTCTCCAGCGTTCTTAGGATAACTAAAACTTTTATTTACAGTCTTAATACTGCTTTGGCCCGAAATGAGGAGATAATCACTACTTAGATGGCACGAAGTTATTGAGAATTAGGTCCTCAAGGACTCAGATAAGACTCTTGGACGTGATGTGGACTATTTTTTAAAGCATATATAACTCCTCTCAGTTCACCGTATTCCCTGCAGCCACAAATAAGTGTGCAGCCAATATTATATGTCAAAGTTTTTGTTCACAGATAGATTTCTTTACAATAATTTTTCAAAATTTTTCCTAAGTTGTAGCAAGATAATTTGCTTTCCAGCCATAACAAATTTAATGATTTAAAGAGCTACAGAAAAGCCAATTTCAATGAAACTTTCTTCATTTAGGAATGAATATTAGCTTGGATCCTACCGATGCTTAATTAATTTTGTTATCACTTACAGTTTGCCCAATGAAACGCTGGAAAAATTCTCAATGAGATCAAAAGATCACTATAGGTTTGTGCGGAACTTCATCATGTATAACGTTAGGTTTAAAATTATACTATCCACAATTCACGAGTCAAATACCGAATACACTGCTGAGATAAATGTACATTTTTTTCTAGATATTCTTGCAATTCTGAACTAGGCTTGATATTTGAATTACTTTATTTTTGCGATTTTGTGAAAACTATTATAATATAACAAGCCAAAACATCTATAATGCATATGCGTGTAGGTTATATGGAATATTCATCACTTATTTTATTCTATATATTTAAGCAGGCAACATCTACCCAGCGTTTTTCTCTTTAACTGTGTCAACTTTCGCGATCTGGGGCGCCATCCAAATTTAAGCCCCTGTCCTGCGTGCATCCTCACCCCTACTCCTCGGGTACCTCCATACCCTCGTGCTATTTTTATTCTCTCCTTTTTCTCCAGATAATTTTTTACTTTATGGTTTCTAGTTCTTCGTTTGTTATGCGCTCAAACAACTATTCAGCTGATGTCTTGCCTGAAGTGTTTCCCTCATTCACAGTTCAGGATCAAATGAATAATGGCTCATTGCTAAGCTCAGGGAGCATTCAGACAAGTGTGAACAGTGATATGGGCATTCGGTCCAAGATGATGCACCCATCGAATCTTTCCTCCGGCCTCTCTAATCACAGCACGTTCCAGGCGGAAGATCGTTCTCGGACTAACCTCATAATCAATTACCTACCTCAGAGCTATGATCAAGGCGACCTCCAGCGCCTCTTCGAACGTATCGGCCCAATCAGACAATGCAAGCTCATCCGTGATAAGGTACGCTACGCCTTTATTTATTTTGCAGAACACTGGTGCTAGTTTGTGCTATGGGTTCGTAGACTTCCAAAACCCCGAGGATGCTAGTATTGCAATCCAAACATATCATGGGTATGAAACTGAGCAAAAACGCCTCCGTGTCGCGTATGCAAGTTCTGGTGGGCGGCGCGGGACGAATGCAAACCCAAATCATCCTTCATTGCCTCTAGATTCTGCCCAAAGACAATCTTTTTTGAGTCAAGGTTTGAAGGTATCACTCGATGGATCCGGCGACTGTGTTGTAGGGTGGGAGATTTGTGTAACGGGAGTACCAATTGAGTGGTCAGAGTCAGATTTACATGTAAGTTTTTTGACGCCACTACAACTTATGCTTCCAGAGGTTATTCAAGAATTTCGGAAATGTGGTGTTTATTCGATTGCTTCCCGCATCTAATAATGATGCTATTCAAAGCAAGCATAAGCTTCTCGGCTCCTCAATTTTAAATGGAACCCAGCTTGATTCCGATTCTGTTGATTGCTCTTTCTCTACTGCTACAGCGTCTGTCATTCTGGAAGAAAAGTCTAGGTATGTTTTTTATATCGTTTTAATTAGCTAGCGCTGAGTCTGCTGTATTAAGGCTCAATAACGTCCAGGCTTCAGATTGGATTAGTCCCCTGTGTATTCGACTGATCGGTTCAGTGACAAAAGAAACTCTTGCTTTGTTTTGCCTTTCTCGACAATCAGTTCTTAACCAAATGCCTCTTGGTGACCCGAGCTCCGAGGCTGCTGTTTTGAATAGCATTCTTTCCACGTCCTTGCGCAGGAATATCTTAAATGCTCCTTCAAATGTTAATGTTACGGACTCTCTTATAGACCGATTTGCAGGCCTAAATGTTGACGGGATCGTGGATAATTGCTTCGATGGTCATTCAGATGTTAAAGGCCAGTCTTATGTTCCTTTGTCTCGTCCTATTGTTCGCACAAAAGGTGCATCATTGCTCGACAGCAGTCCTGCTCTCGGATATTGCTCAAACGGTTTGCATAGTCTGGATTCCTTTGATGGGTCTCATCAGTCGAGTCAGGATAGATCCTCTCCCCGAAACTCCTTTGAAATGAAGTCTCATCCTTGTGTTCGCCAATTTCTTGAAGCGCGTGATATTGAAACAAAATCTCCATTATGGGCTTCGACAACCTTATCCAGCGGCTCCAGTCAGCAACGCATGGGTGGTGGATCTTTCATCAACCGTTCTAATATATCTGA